TTTTTTTAAATACTCGGAAGAAATAATATCTGCACTTGAATTCATCTCTCGTTGCAGAAATAAATTTCTCGCATTTTTGAGCGCATGACAGTAATCAAAACTTAAGAATAAAGGCATTGGGGCCAAAAATGGGTGAGCAATAGAATTTGAAAGAGTACCATTACAAAGAATTTTGAAAAGTTTGACATTTGCGGAGAAATCGTCTGTTACGATTCTTAGCACAATAAACCCACAAGAAGTAAGGAGTTCCAAAACGTTCAAAGTAATCGAATGATATGTCTCTACGGATAAGTTGCTATGAAAAAAGTAGCCTGCAGGAATTGTATATCGCGTGCTCAATCCATGAATCACAAAACATAACATTTTGTTAGCTTGATCTACATGTTCGCCTACATTTTGATTTTTGCAATTGCTTAAACCATAGATACGATCCTCGGATCGACTATAAAACATTTTTTCTCTGATTGACATATCATCGATTATTATCAACGAACATATACGTTCGACAGGTTTTTTTAAACTAAAAATTTCGGAATTTAATCTTTCTTTGATTAGAGCTGAGGTTCCGCTGAAAGGCCTCAAATAACGTAAGATTGTCATTTTTGATGGTTATTTGGCCAAATGTTTTCTGCAAAATTCATATCCTTTTGAGGAGCAAAATCTCCAAAGGGTACATAAACGGACAGATGTTTCCCACCATCGAGGTACTTTTTTATTATAATTTTTTACCATGTCCAAAGGAAATATGGCTTTTTCATCATTGTTTTCCGCGGCTTTGGAGATTTGTATAACAACTTTGAATTTAGACTTTTCTCATTTTCAACCTGAAGATTCCTTAATTCGCCTAAACAGTTTAGATATTTTTGGGTCATTCTTTTCAACTTCAAATTTAGAATTTTATAATGATCTCTGAGATCCTCAACTTCTTTTTGTGTAACTGAGTTTACTTGTACAAATTTTGAATTGTTCTCACTCTCAATGCTAACCATATTGCTTTGAACTAAGATGTCGTTGTTATGTCGTTTATTAGCGAAGTTATTTCTGCCACAAACATCCTAAAATTCAAATTAATAGGAGATTAATGAAGACCTTCTCTTTTACATACAAATTTAGAAGGTACTGCTCCTTTAATTAGCCGATTTTTATTTCCAAAATTATTTATGCAGTTTTCACCAAAATGTTTCTTGCACACCACAGTACTTTGTTTAATTTTCGAGATATCTGATAAATATAAATACAGTGTTAGTTAACTGTCAAAGGAATCTAAATTATTACCTCAAAGTGTATAAGATCTTATTCGAATATGTTATTTTTAAGAAAGATCATATTTTATGTTGATATTTCTTTTAGATCTTTAATTAGTAATACAGTATACGTAAGTAAACTCAAATCCATAAGGTTGTAACCACTCCCTAGTGTAAATTTTTAAAAATTATTCAGTGTAAATCTGTCTTTTAATAACCTGGTGACATATTTGGTGACCTGTCAATATAATGTCAGTTCATTCATGTATTCGCGACACATGATTACGTTCGACTTCACTGCAATTCTTGCACTCCTGCACAGGTTATTTCATAATTATCATTGTAACTTGTCGCAATATTGTAAAAACTGATAAACAATTTTCAATAAAAACAGGATAACCTGAGTCTTCATGGTAATTATAATACAAGAGCAACGATAAATAGAAACGTGTTTTATCTTTCATCTGTAGAAAGAATGCCACCTGCTGTAATTTAGACTTGCAGTCGATACGTTTACGAATTACGATAAAATGAACCCAAAAATATTGTGGTCACGAATGAAATCAAATATTGGGCTGGTAAAAAAACAAGGTGAATTGATTTATTTATTGTTGCTGCTTCATAAAAATTACTTTACAGATGGGGAATAACTGAGATATTCAGAATTTGTTTAAATTATTGTACATGAGTATACGTGATAATTATATGTGTGGCTAACTATGACTCGAAGGATCAGCTCTCTCGACTGAAATGATCAATCTCGCGAGCAACACCAAAATTGTCTATAATGGGTAGATCACCTTAATTAGTTGCAATGGATGACCAATTTTTCATCAAAAAAATGGGACACCAACAAGTCTTTAATGTTATGTTTAATAACTCTAATATTTGGTACTACTTATTATTTACAAAATGTACAAGGGATTTGGTTGAAGGCGATAGGTCTGGCTATGCTCCTCCGTCCTGACGATTTTAGTGGTAATAATGAACAAAATGTAACTTCACAAAATTCAGAGGCTAAAATAATAGGTATGTTGAAAATAATTTGACGGCTTATTTAAACTTACTGTTACAGGAGTGGTTAGAAACATTGGGAACACATAGACCAAATAACCAAAAAGCAATTATTTTTCTGTTGTTAACTTTCTTAAATCTGAATCCCATGGATTTTAATACTCAACGTAAAGTATTTAAACTTGCTGTATATTCTGGATGTTCTTTCGCAAAAATAAACAAATCCTGAAGAGTAAAAAACTCATTTTTTTTGTTTTTGTCAAATATACGGTAGGTTAGATCTTCTTTAAATTCCAAATTTGAATACCACTGCGATTTTTGTTTTGATTTCCACTTTGCTTCTTGTAACGGTTCTCCAGATTGGTGTTGGGTTATAATTTTGTGGGCTTGACATCGAGAACACTATGGAAAGGATAGGAATTAATGATAAGTTTACAGGGAAAGTATGCAGTGCTTGAATTTAATGAGGGACATTTAGTTGTATTGTGTAGGATATAAAGAGTGGGTATAAAACTTGAAAAGACAATGTTGTACTAAAAAGCGAGATATACACTTTCAACTTGAGATAGTTAAAACTAAAAGTCCTTCGACATACCACCATGTTGTAATAACATGAAAAAAGTTCCGAATGTCGATACGTTACTCTCATAGTATAGTACTCTCTTTCCATGGTATAAGAATAACTACATACTGAAAAGATTTTTACAAGCTTGAATTCAAGTTCTCGGGAGGATGCTTGGGGATAAGCAAGTTTCAATTCATTGTGGCAGTTGGCAAGTGCCATTTTCATCTGCTTATTTACCACAATATGCCGTGTCGGTACCATTTTTCAATGGTATGGTTTAATAACAAACTGTGAGATATTTAAATAAAACTCTCTCGTGCGTAATTGTCAAATTTTGACATATGCGCCGCTACCAATCTGTTCATGTGAAAAACACCATTGGCTGTAATGCCAACCTTACAATTTAACGAGTGGTTACAACCTTATGGATTTAACTGTAATTACCGCAAAATTTATCCATAGTTTCCATCCATTTTCTCCGCAACTCAAAATTACTGGGAATTTAAAAAACTATTGTTTTTTTTTTCGCCACAAATTAAACACTTTCTTCCCATTTCTTAATTTTTTCAAAAAATATAGGAAAATTTTCGATTCTTATTTAAAATTAATGTTCAATGAACTTTTCAAACGCAGTATTTTTTCCATCAAAATTGACAAAAATAGCGCTTCCAATCAACGAACGAAAATTAGTTAAACGAATATGCTATAGATGGAGTCAATTGCCGGATGGTTTTTTAGGTTACCAGAATCAGTCAAAGGCCCATTTTGTTACGGCCGTATGAAGCGCAGCGGAGTTAGATTGAGTTGGCCATGTTCATTATTACTATCGTACCTATATGAAAAACACACCGGAACAACTAATCTATATTTTACGAATGATGAGAAGCCAAGGAAAGATAAGCTACATAATTACCACTATAGGTTGACTCCGAAAAAATTTAAGAAAACATCGATGACTGGGTTAAAATTAAAAGCAAGCACATTCAAAATAAGAGCTCGTCAGAAAATCTCCCGTACGGATAATGATCGCTACAAAATCCTGAATGACTCACCATGTATCAAAATCACATTAATCTTTTCGTCGTTCAAACACTACATCAATTTTGACAAAATGTCAGTGACAGTATCTGAAACTATGTCACCTGGCTTTATCATTTCTATTGAAACGCCACTTGTTGATCGTAAATTTGGCAACTAAAAACCGTTCTCAATTAGTCGAAAGCTGTTACCAATTGCTAAATTTTAAGCAAAATCCAACAGGTGGTGTTTCAATAGAAATGACAAGGACAATACATTAGTGTTGTTACACAAAACCGATAACTATGTTTACTTTTTTTTTAATCGTGTGAAATATCAAAAATGGTTTTGAAATAATTGTATAAGTATATATATATATATTTCTGACTGCGTCGTGAAATTTTTAAGAGTGGAGTTTTTCGTAAATAGCCCGCATTATAATAAACTCAGTTTTATTTTTCAGAATTGACAAAATCAATCAAGTTTTTTTTGACTCAACAGAAGAATTTTTTGTGCAACTCTTTCACCTCTGTTTTAAAATTATTAATAATTTTTTGTAGGCGGTGCCGTTTTTGTACTCAAATATTTTTTTTTAATTTCTAATTTACCTAGTTAAACCGTACAATTTTGTTGAATCCTCACCATTTTCATAAAAAATGAATTCAACCGAACCGCCAAAAGTTCCCGCAAAGATCCAAAACATTACTGGACTGTTCAATAAAGAGATGGTTACAGAATGTAGATAGCATCATAATTATTGAGGTGATTATGTCTGAGTTGAACATTTTATTAATCAAAATGAGCATAACAAAACCTTTCCATATTCGTCCGCTAAATTTGTTACTAATGACAATTTCCAGTCATTCTCAGTGAAACTGTTGCCCTGAATTATTTTTTTTTAAGAACAACATATTGTATATGTAATTATATATAATTGGTAAAAATAAAATGAACTAGGTGAAATTAAAAAAAAAAAGTAATTTATTATGTTTCTTGTAAGCATACAGAATCGTCAAAAATACGCAATTTAATTAAAATCATTTTATGGTAAGAACAAGTTTATTTCCTTCCTTTCTTGCGTAGCTAATCTTTCTTTTTCCTTCACGATGGCTGAACCCAGCACTCGCTTTCCCAACAGAAAACTTTTGGTTAATTCTGAATTTATTTTTACTACCGTCAGCAAATCTCAGCAACATGGTAAATGGACAATTCGAAGCAAAAAAATTAACATCTTCTCTTTCCTCCCAATGATCGCCAATGGGGATTTTTCTCTTCTGAAAATTACCAGCAGGACCTGAGCTAGACCAGTCAAAAGAGTCAGTTTCGCTGACTTGAGTAGAAATTATGTTGCTATTTGAATTGTTAACAATACGGAGATACGTTTCTGTGGTAATTAATTTCTTTGTTCCTGTTTCTGCTGCTTTTTCAGCTGCTACTACTCCCACTGGGTGGCACCTGCTTTGGCAACTTTTCCGATGACATTCATGGTTTTGTATAACAAAAAACTAAAAAGTTAAATTAAAAAAATTTTAGCTAAGTACTCCTTATTACAAAATGTTTCTTACCGTTGTAAGGTCTGCACACCCTGGCAGGCTGTATTACGAATGAAGGAGGAATTCTTGGAGGGATTTTATTTATATCTAAAATGAAATGATGGTTCATTTTAAACAAATATCTGCAATGGGTTATCAGTCCCAAACGTTTTCCCCGCAAGTCTTTTTTACCTTAGAGAACAGATAATAATCGTTCGAAGCTAAGTCAGTATTGTAGGGTGGCTGATCAAGTTACTCGAAGTCAGAGGTCCCTATAGCAGCTTGAGTAAAGCCGGGTCCACACTTGCTATATAACTTTGCTATATAACTCTGCTATGAAACTTTGTTTAAAACATAGTCGCGTCCACACCCGTTCAGTGAAGAGATGGATGCAGAAAACCAACTCCTTGCAGCAGCGGCGTGCGTAATTTTGTTTACCAAGAGTAAGAAAAAACCGAAGAAAAGACGGTTTTGGGTTAGACCCACACTGCGGTCAAGAAGTCAGTATAATGGGACACATTTATTGGAAGATTTGAAACGAGACGATGTCGGTTCTATCGATTACGGAATGACATACAGGGGAAGCTTCAAAAACTTCCGTAGATTATCCAGTGTGGATTTCGACCATTTGCTAAGATTAATTGACCCTAAAATTTGCAAGACGGACACGAGATTGAGAGATGCAATACCCATTAATGAACGTCTGGCAGTAACTTTGCGCTTTTTAGCAACTGGAGATTCTTACCAAAGCTTGATGTATTTATTCAAAATATACAGTGAAAACCCTTTTATTATTATGAAACTCTCTGGAAGAAACTCTGCACGCCAGTGACCGGTTGTTGACATAAAATATAACAAGTCTGGACGCGTTTGAAATAGCAGTGCGATATAACTTTCTTTGATCTTTTCGGGCTTTACCGACTCCAGATGGATAACATCTAGCAAGTTATATAGCAAGAAAATTTGCTACAATTCGCCTAAATTTTAGTAACATGTTATATAACTTTGCTATATAGTTGTGTTATACAGCAAGTGTGGACCCGGCTTAAGACATGCGGTATGAATGGGCGCATTGTCATGAAGCAATCGAACGTCTCTTGTTAATTTTGTCGGTCGTTTTCCCTGAATACGTTCTCGTAATTTATGCAATAAGGAAGCATAATATGTAGCGTTGACAGTGGTAATTAGTTCTTTAAAATCAATCAACAACATGCCTTCACAGTCCCAAAAAATTGTGGCCATGATTTTTTTGGAAGATTGGTACGTATTCAAGGGTTTCTTACCCCACGCGAAACAATTGTGATCTTTTTTTTTAGTAGAATATGATAAGCTTCTGCAAACACAAAAACCATCCCGTCCTTAATATCCTTTGGAGTAATTCCTTCTTTTGCTGAGAATTTTATTACGGCTCTATGTTCAATTTTAAACAGATGAGTTCATCATTTTTCAAACTTTACTCCTCAAATGTGTCAAAACTAATGGGCAGTGGGACTTGAAATTTTACACACATACTCTACGGGGACTCTCTAGTCTTTTATGAATTGTACCAATTTCCCGACGAACAATCGCAAATACATCAGGACGAGAATATTTGGCGCTTACCTCGTACATATCTCAGACGCCGAGGGTGCATTTTGAGGGCAGACAGAGTAAGTGTAAAGTAGCCAATGGGCAAGAAAGCCCAGCTGTGTTGTGATGGCCTGAAAAGGCCGGACTCAGGTTGGGTGAAACATAAGAGCAAAGAGTTGAGTGTTAAGGTGTTGATAAAAGAAAGTGGCAGGTTAGGGTGAACCTGGCCACAACAGCAGTGTTGACGGGTAAAATCTCCAGCAAATATTATGGTATTTACTTGGGCACTGAGGGCCAATTCAGATAGGGCGCCTTTGGCCCATGACCGCAGGTTGCCGAAAGCCGTGAAAGGGGTGTCCTAGCTGTTGATCGATCGGTGGTGGCGGTGGTCGCAACCGAATGCAACAGAGAATACGTTTACTGGTTAGGTTGAGAGATTAACCCAGTTTCTGGAGGAAACATAGTGACGTATGAACGTGGGGGTGTCCTCTCCATTTTGGCCTTGACAGTGGTGCTTCTGAAGGGGCTGTGGGCGGGCAGTACATCGCAAACTGTACATCTAGGGCAATTTCAGATAACTTGACAACGTCACCAGGAGATCGCGCGCCAAAGACGACGCCGAATTGGAATCACTAATCGACAAGGACTGGACTAGAGGGGGAAACCCCCCCGTGAGTGACCTCATTCTTAATCATTAGAAGGAAATAAGTCAGGTGTGTCTATTTTCATATTCATGATTGGGATCGAAATGTCGCGGGTGCGGATCTGTACTAGAGAGTCACATCTAAGGGTGAATCAGTAGTTTGCAATTGGCTGTAGCCGTTTGACCGTCATTGATAATAATGAATATTTGTCGATGATTTACGCTAAATCCTCAATCTGGCCAAGAATCGTCTTACACTCGTAACAAGATTTTAAAACGAACAAATCGAAGTTCCTAGAGGTAATGGTCCCAGTCGAACCTAAAGTGTGTGTATATATCGTGTTACCTGCCGGCGCGACAAACGAAATGAATTGAAAATGGATAACATACGTGTAAAGCGAAATATACAACAGTTTAAAAGTGAAAATTATTGTGTGTGGAAATTTAGAATTCGGGCATTGTTGGCTGAGTTGGCAGTACTACATGTACAACTTACTATCCATTCGTCGAACTCAAGAGGGTGGTCTGAAAGTGGTATTCAATGTGCGACGAAATTCCAGTTTAACAGACGGACGGTCCGGAATCTCGCCGATAACGTGTGGTGGTGGCGGCATACCTGGGTGCAAAGCCTTGGGCCGACTAGTGCCGCTGATATAGGAAACACGTCTGGCTAACCTAGGCTTATGTGACGACTTTAACGCCGCTTGGGGTACCGCCTTCGGTCAGGAGCGCCTGTCGCTCGGGCGCCAGCTCCCTCTCCGGGGGAGGGAGCGCCGGGGTTGCTCTCAAGACGGAGACACGGATCTCAGGTGGTAACGTATTCTTACTAGTTGTCACTGTTTCTGAAAGACATCAATCAAAATTTCATAAATGAAATATTAAAAAAACACCAATATTGTAATTCAAACAAATGTAATAAATAAATTGAACATTTAAATAAATTTAACTAGCGTAAGTACTGTTCAAATTACCACATTTCGATGTGATTTAGGTAAGACAACCGGACGTGGGCAAGTGTTTCAGGAGTTATTGCAGCACATGCGTTTCTAATTCTCGTTTTTAAATCTTCACAATTACGAATAGGATTTTGGTAAACGTGTTCCTTTACAACCCCCCAGAGGAAGAAATATAAAAGTGTTAAGTCGGGACTGCGAGGGGACATTCACACTGCCTCTGCCAATCCACTTATTTGCAAGCGTCTCATCAAGAGAGTCCCTAACGACTCTGTAGTAATGAGGTGGTGCTCCGTCCTGCTGAAACCACAGTTCTTGTGGGAGGTTGAGAAGAACATTTTCTAATAACCCCGGAAAATCATTTCCCAAAAATTCTCGATACCTGTGTCCTGTTAAGGTGCCTCCGAAAAAGTATGGGCCAATTACGTAGTGTGCAAAAATACCAGTTCACACATTTATGGAAAACACATTTGGAAAATGAGCTGTTCTTGTCCAGTGTGGGTTATTTTGGGAGTGATAGTGACAGTTGTGCCGATTGTGCTTCATCGCTCAACAAAATTTTGACTGAAAAATTGTTGTCCAACTCTAGTTGATGTTGCATAAAATTGCAAAATTGTATTCTTCTGGGAAAGTCTTCTTCTTTTAGATCTTGTCCTAATGTCACATGGTAAGGGTGGAACTTATTCGCTCGCAAAATTTTTGAAACGGAAAATTGCGATATTCCTACCTACTAATCTTTGGCTCACATGTGGGTCATTGACTACGGCTTCACTTACACGAATTTCATTTTCGACATCAGTAGTGGTAAGTCGTCTATTTCTTGTTTCTTTCGGCCAATTTTGCCTTAACGTTTTTTAAACATCTTTTCATCGTTCGTGTCACCCTCATCTTATTGCGAAGGCTAAAAACTTATCGGAGCTCAAAATTGACAAATAGAATTATTGCGAAAATCAAAATTAACTACTAGGTAACAATGTTTGTACATCTTAGAACGTTGCATTGAAATTTGGTCAGGGTTCCGTTGTTATAATACTCACCCTATATTGTCCATTCGGACTTATTCGGCCTAATTACACCATCAACAATGAGCTGTAAAAATGATTTTGCTTCCTTTATTTATGATTTCACTCACTATATAGTTACTTACTTATTAAAGTACAAATCAGAATTATGTAAAATTTTTAAAGACTGTAGCTAAAAGTGAAACACATTTCTCTCTCAAATTATAAAACCTCTACTGTGACAATGCAGGAATGCGTATTTATCTAAAGATGTAATCGAATTTTGTTCAGAAAAAGGAATAGTGTTTGTATTGATGAGGCTGATACGTGTTTAAACTCCATATTAATTTTAATAATAATGAAAAAACTTTCAGAGTTTAAATAATATATTTGTAGTCACTGCTACACGTGTTTCGGTACACAGTACCGTCTTCAGGCAGAAGAGAAACTGGGGTTTTTACAGAGCTATTCCTGAATTTATTTTTTAGTTAAATCAGGTATAAATTCAGGAATAGCTCTGTAAAAACCCCAGTTTCTCTTCTGTCTCAAGACGGTACTGTGTACCGAAACACGTGTAGCAGTGACTACAAATATATTATTTAAACTCTGAAAGTTTTTTCATTATTATTAAAATTAAAAGGAACAGTATTCCATTTTACGGTTCCTCATACATCACAACAAAATGGTGTTGCAGAACGCATAAATCGTATAATAACCGAGAAAGCACGATCAGTGTTAAGTTTTACAAATCTTGATAAGTCGTTTTGGGATGAAGCAATTCACACCGTGTACATATCTTATTAACAGAACCCCGACAAAAGCACTCAACAGAAATAAAACGCCATATGAAATGTGGCGCAATCGAGAGTCACAATTAAATCATTTAAAGGTGTTTGGTTCA